AAAACAGAGCTTGCACCGGGATACCATACGAACATATCGAAATAAAAAGATAGCCGGGTCCTGTCAGGGCACCCTGAGGTACCTATTTTTTGGGTTTAACAAACTATATGTTAAGGATTGTATGAGGTATCCCCAAAAAGGGAATTACAATGGAGACTATAGGTAAACCCTAAACTCCCTAAACCCTAAACCCTAAACCCTAAACCCCCCTAAACCGACTATAGGTACCCCCCAAGTTTTTTAGAAATCCCTCGGACCTCTTTGTCGCGCAGGATCGCCTCAAGCGCATCGAGAGGTTTCGTAAGCTGAAGGCTGGCTGTGGCACCCTAGGTTTAGTCATGGGTTTAGGGTTTAGGGTTTAGGGTCATGGGTTTAGGGTTTAGGGTTTAGGGTTTAGGGTCATGGGTTTAGGGTTTAGGGTCATGGGTTTAGGGTTTAGGGTCATGGCTAGATATTATAAAGTGGGGTTAGAAGTACGGTTACTATAGTTATAAGTTATAATCCGTGTTAGGGGATTTATGGCCGTACCTATAACTACCCATGAACCTCCAAGTAAACCTTACACTCTATGTGCTTAGGCCTTCCTAAAACTCTATGCCTAAAGCCTTGCATTGAACCGTAAAGAATGTTAGGGCACCCTTGCAAAAAGGACCCCACAAGAAACCCTGAGTTAAAGAACTACACATGTAATACTCAGAATCCATTGTTCCGTTACCGAAGGGGTGCTCCTATGTGCAGAGCATTTGACAAAGCCAGAGTCTGAACGTGAGTTTTGAAAAGTGCATCAGCGCAGGCACCGGTACATTGACATGCATTGAACTAGACGAGGGTGCATGGATGAAGAAATGCTGCATTTACATCTACATGGCACATGCTTGCACCTGGCCCTGTGCCCGACAACCACAGAATGACTGGTTGCATCCAGGGAAACTCTGGGAGCGATGAATCCTAAACCCTGAACCATATTTGGCTCCCCGACTTTTTCGGAGGCCGATGCACATGCCACTTCAGCGTTTGATCGACACATGGGCAGCTAGAAAGAACAGTTGAGGGCGCTGCTGGCTTACTATAGCAGCCCGAATTATTGACAATCTTATTCCTTAGGATTCGCGACTTGAAAGTATACTGAATATGCCTCCCCTCCAAACAAACGCCATTCTAATTGCTGAGTCTCCGAAATTAGGGCTTCACTCCTTGAGTGGACGGTCCATCTGGGATGATGTACTTGGAGGATCAAAGGAGAGAGCAAGTAAGACTATAAGTACCTGAATTGGGGCAAGTTTCTACCTACACCCTAAACCCCTAAAGCCTAAACCCTAATAGTAACCCTAGATACTAAGTGCCATGATCCCTAAACCCTAAACCCTAAACCCTAAACCCTAAACCCTAAACCCTAAACCGTACTCCGACAGCCCAGGCTCCCCTCGAGCCCCTAAAGCTCCAGTCCCCTAAACTCCCTCTGAAAAAGCCTCTACGTCTCAGGGTTTCTATAAGTTTAGGGGTTTAGGGTTTAGGGTTTAGGGTTTAGGGTTCATAACCTACGCAAAAGTAGGGTTATTGCAGTTTATACTTGGACCATAAACCCCAAACCCTAAGCCTAGAAGACGGCGTTCGGCAAGCAGGATGCCCTGTTGGTGTGCACCGACATCGCGGCGCGAGGCTTGGGGGGCTGCCCGGTGTCCTCGGTGATATCAGGAGGCTTGGGGTTTAGGCTTTAGGGCCTAGTGTTCAGGGTTCAGGGTTTATGGTTGAGAGTTTAGGGTTGTTAATACTAATCCTCAGTACAGATGTAGTACAACTCGATTCATACAGGCCTCGAAATAGGAGCCTGATTTAGTTGAGGACTGTCTGATCAGAAATGGGGCTTAGATGGCAGGCACTTTTGGAAGCTTTTTGTTTTGTATGTTCCTGAATGTTGAAATTCTTGGGTCCTTGTTACAAGGTCTTGCAGCTGTTATGCAAGTCCTCGCTGACGGTTCACGGGCTAGTATACGGTTTGAGATTCTGATCTTCCCTCTGGTGCCTGCTTTGGTTTTATATAGGGGCCCTAAAGAAATTAGAATAGGGTTTTGGGGCCCACTATACCATAATCGTGATAAGGAACCTCCAGAATAGTATGGGTAATTATTCAGGCCCCTATAGTACTCAGTGCCCGCAGGCCTCGAACCTCCTTGTAAGTTGATGGGCAGCAGGACTCGACGTGCCGGATGTGTCGGCCGTTTTGCACTTCCAGGTGCACTGGGTTGGGTTTGCATACATGTTATATAAACGTATGTACACGTTTAATTTTAAACGCTTCGCGTCCGCCGCTTCGGCCCGGCGGTACTTGAAGCAGGTGCATTGTTTCGGAAAGCAACAGGTAGGTCACACAGGTGAGGTCTTGCGTGAAGGAGTGCATTTGCTTCAGAAGGTGGTTTCGATGTCAGTGTTTGTTTTCCTGCTGAGGCTCTGAGCAATAATCCCATGCGAAAGGTGGCAGATTTCCTGCATGATCCTATAGACGTTACTCTAAATTTCGTATTGCACTTCTCACTACAACCTCCCACATGTTGAAGGGGAACGGGGAATCAAGCTTTGCAACAAAGTATCCCCAGAATTTCCAGGCTTTGACAGCAACTTCGCGAATGATGTAAGCCAATGTAATCTAGACTGTCTTGATTGTTCTTAAGACTAGGTTTAAGATTTTTATGACCACTATGATTATTATTACCTTTGTTCTTATCGTTATTTTTATGACTATTATTGTTATTAGCATTATTATTAATGTTATCAGTATTATTCTTATTGTTATTCTTGTAAGTTGTAAGTATTAATGGGCAGTTCTGTACAGTGGGTCCCTTCTCGGGTCCGCGAAAGAGTATGGAAAGAGCAGTCAGAATCACAAAGGACACCCTGATTCAAGGGTTCGAAAATCTAGAGAACTACAAAACCCCGAACCCAAAATAAGCCCCGAACCTGTCACATGAACAGTGCAATAGCAGGGAGCAGACTGTCCACGACGATGAAATTATGCCCACCGCTATCTGACTGTCAGCACCGCATCACCGCGCTTTTATTGTTTAGGTTTCCGGGGTTAGGCTGAGAACCCAACCAGACGAAGCACAGTCTTCCTGGTCGTCGTAACATTTTTGGAATGTACTTGGAGGTTCACCAGTAGCTATCAGTGGGGTTATAAGTAATTTTAGGTATAACCCATATTAGGGGGTTTGTAACCCTACTTATATAACTACCCATGAACCTTCATCTCTTGGTTTCTCCAGGCTCCTCGTGGCTCGGAGGTGTTCGTCCATCGCAGCGGGCGTACCGCCCGCGCTGGGAGGGCAGGACTGGGATGGAACGGAGTTGAAAATAACAACCTAAGAAGCAAGAATGATCATAAATTGCAGTAACAGTTCCCTTCCGACAGTCGGTGTTCCTGCTGACAATCAGCCATGGTTGTTGCCAGCGGCGATATGGGGGTTTCCGAAAATAGGGGACCCTAATATAGCACCCTAAATAATAGGATCCCTATTATATATTTTCGGAAACTCCCATATAACTGCAGTAGAGGTCCGCTTGTTGTCGTCGTTATTGTTGCTGCTGCAATCTGCTGCTGCTGCTGCTGCTACTGAGACTGCTATCGCCAATTCGACTGCTGCCGCTGCGTCTGCCGCTACCGTTGCGACTACGATTCGGGGGTCCGAGCCTATGGGCCTAGGATGTCGAGCTGTGTTTTGGGAGCGCGGCGGTTTAAGTTTCGTCGATTCCTCGAAGACGCCTCCGGGCGGGGTTTCGGCGTGTCACAGCGGCAAAAATTCAATAGCAGCTTCAATAGCAAGAAGGATCAATGACCTCACCACCTGTTTAGGAACAGTAGCATCATTCGTCGAAGATCTAGTAAGGTCTCCACTACTACTGACAACAGTATCGCACGCATCATGGTAATCATGGTGCTGGTGCTCGTTATGTTAACTTGTCCTCAGCAGCTTGGTCACTTAACCCCGCCTGGAAGGAGAGACCATCGCCTTTGTGTCGCCGAATGACATCCGCCATTGGGGCAAGGCACTGTTCCTTCATGCGCAGCTTCGCCGAGTTACATGGTTGGGCTTTCGGCTAAGGGCTTTGGCTACGAACTACTTGTGGTGTTGCGTCATAAAGACGATCACAGCCTGTGATGGGAGTCTTCTCGCTGAAGCCTTATACTGATAATGAGCCCCAACAACAGGAATGCCAGCGAGGGGTTCCCCCAACCTGGGTTTGAAAGACCAGCAATGTTGTACTGCTAGCCGCGAAAAAGGCAGTAAATAGTGCGGGTCTGAACTGCAACATTAACAACACCAAGTATGCATAATACGAAGCATGAAGACAGTGGCAACTCAATTGACGACAGCACTGGATGCTGCGAATAGTGTCATCAAATGCAACATGAGGGATATTTTCTCATGTAGATACCAGCGAAAACATCTTCAAAACCACAAGATATCCCAGAAATTCTGCACGACGCCAAGGTCGAAAGTCGAAAATCTCCCGACACAGGCCCCAAGCCCGAAGCCCTCATTTCTAAAAGCCCCGGGCAGTAGCCGTGAACTCTAACCACCAAAAACCCTAAACCCCAAAACCCCAAAGCCCTAAACCCTGAACCCCTAAACCCAAAGCCCTAAACCCTAAACCCCTAAACCCACAGCCCTACATCCTAAACCTAAACCCGAAACCTAAACCCTAAGCCCTACACCCCCCAAAATCCAAGAGGCCCCCCAGATCCCCTGACCCTGGTTGCAGGTCTACCAAGCTGTTGGGGTCACGAAGGAGCAGGGTTCAGGGGTGTCGGATTTATTTAGGGTTTAGGGTTTAGGGGTTTAGAGGTTTAGGGGTTTCCGGTCATGGGTTTAGGGCTTTAGGGTTTAGGGCTTTCAGGGTTTAGGGTTTTCAGGGCTTAGGGGTTGCGGGATCTAGAGTTTAGAGCTTCCAGAAGACCGGCAGATTTGGTAGGTGCTAACAAAATGTAAGGTCCACTTCTAGCCATGCCGAGGAGTCGGAGTATGGTGCCGTGCCGACGAGTATGGTGCTTAAGTCTTAAGTCTTGAAAATTCCTGCAAGTAGAGGCCTTGAGAGTGTTTGTTCCGGTCTGGGGTTGGGGCGGTTGGGGTCCAGGCTTTCCAGCTTTAGGGTTTAGGGTTAAAAATCTTGAGTGATTGAGGGCTTCGGTTTCTGTTCTGCCTGATTGGAACGTTTCATAAACCCAGAAGGCCTCGCGCAGTCAGGAGCGGGTGGAAGCGGTTCCCCTCGTCCCAGAGGCCATCAACGCAGCGAAGGAGGCAGTGCTGCTTGCTATCTCAGAGATGATGCTTCGTTTAATACCGGGGCCTAAATAATTACCAATACTACTTTGTGGGTTCCTTATTAAAAGTATAGTAGAATATTCCCCCTAAACCAATGATTAAGGCCCCTACATTACTTTTTGTTGCCTAGCTTGCAGGTTCGATGGTTTCAGACTGTAGAAGCCAGCATTGGCAGAATCTGGAGTCTCATGCCGATTTCCCCGACGATTGTCGCCATCCCTAGAGACTGTCTTCCGCGAACCGCTGTCTCTGTTGTGGTGTTTGCTAGCCAGCTCGTCAATTTCAGCCCGTACCCTGACCTCGAAATGTCACTTCTCAAAACTCCGATTAGAGACACCCTCATGGCAAGCCGCTTCAGCAACATAAGCCTTAGCCTCAAACGGCACCTAACCCAATCACAGGCCCAGTCACTAATATCAAGATCCCTACTACAACCTCCATAAGCAAATTGTCCACCACACTTCCAAAACCCGGCTCAAGACAGGGAGTTCCGAGATCAGCATGAAAGCTTTCTCCGGTTAGCAAGGTGACACCGATCTGAGTATTCCTGAACCCTGATACCCGACACCCCAAACCCTGAACCACACACCGAAATTACCCTGAAACCCTGAAACCCCAAAGCCTAAACCCTAAACCCTAAACCCCTAAACCCCTAAACTCTAAACCCTAAAAAAACCCTAAACCCCTAAACCCTAAACCCTAAAAAAACCCTAAACCCCTCAACCCTAAACCCTTAAAAAA